TATTCAAAAGATGAATTATCAAATAATAAAAAAAATTTTTTAAGTTAATTAATAAATTCAAAAAATAGATGAAACTCAAATTTCGGAATTTTTGCAAGCAAATTTGCCTGGGAAGCCTTACAGTTTAAGGGATAAATTCTCTTTTGATTTACTTTTATAAAAAATTAAAATTTTTTTTAAATTTTTTTTTATAATATGTATTATATTATAGTAATTTTTTATTTTTTAATTAAATAATAAATAATCTTAAATTACTTATAGGCTAAAATTTTGTAATTTTTAAAAATTTTATCATTGATCTTTAACAATCTTATTAAATTTATTTTTAGAAATATTAATTATAAAAGAATATTATAAATTTATCATAAAGAAGTAACTTTAATTATTATAATTTTATGATTTTTTAAGAAATTTTATAACTTTATTAATAGTAAAATAATTTAATTAATTCATAAATATATTAATTTTAAAGAAAATTTTAAAAAATTATTATTAAAACTTAATTTTAAAAAATATTAAACTATATTTTTCATATAATTACTATACTATTAAAATTTATATTTAATATTTTATTAAAAAATTAACACTTTTTTTTAAGTTTACAAGCAAATTTGCTTACTAATAATCTAAAGAATGGTTATAAAATACAATTCAAATAATTTTAATTAAATTCAATTAAACTGGTTTACTGAAAACTACTAATAGTTATAATCTTTATACTTCTTTAATATGAATTTGATTTTTTTAACATTATAATATTTTTTGATCTTATAATTGAAAGATAAAAAGCATAATAAATTTCTATAAATTTTTTAATGATCTCATCCTTCACGTGATTACATAAGCCACATTATGACCTAGAGAATAATTACGCCGATTCGCGATGCTAATATTGCCACAAAGCTTGTATTACTAATGCTCAAAAAAGGATATTAAATACACCTTTATGCCTTTATGAGATTTTCAATCACACCAGAATTTCTTTTCATAATTATTCGAGCTCTTTTTCTTCTATTTAATAACAAAAAAGAATAAAAGATGTCTACTGAAGCGCGTCGCAGACTTATGAGAGATTTTAAGAGGCTTCAAAATGAACCTCCAGAGGGCATCTCGGGAGCTCCTTGCCCTGATAACATACTATTATGGAATGCTGTCATCTTCGGTCCTGGTTAGTGAAAGTTTTAAATTTTTACTCGTTAGATGAACTTGTTTAAAATCGCAGTGAGTCTTCATAGTTTGTTTCTAGTTTTATCAGATGCTTTTTTTTAAAAACATTGGAAGTCTTGAGAAAATCATAATTATTACCTAAAGCGTTCTGTTTAGTGACTTTCGTCTTTTCTGAAGGCCTGAGCTGTATGGTTTCTGGGTTCTGTGCATCGCGTAGTATTCAATTAGAATTTTATTTGATTTATTTCAACAAAAAAAAAAAAAAAAAATTATTCATATTTATTCATTCTATCATCGGAATATTCCAAATTATATAGTCAATTTTTATCCGAAATTCGTCTCATAGATAGTACCCTCTCCTCCGATCATAATAAACCAATGGTACTATACAGAACGCTTTACGGTACTTTATTCGTTAGGTCAACAAGTTGATTCAACTTATTGATATGGCAATTTTAATTAGATATTAGGATGATGATCTTCAAAGAATTTCATTGAACGAGGATAAATAATTTTAATTATTGATTATATTAAAATATTTAATATTTGTACATTTAAAAAAAAAATTTTTTTTTTAGCTGAAACACCATTTGAAGATGGTACTTTTAAACTGGCTCTCCAATTTGACGAAAATTATCCCAATAAACCACCTTCAGTCAAATTCATTTCAAAGATGTTTCATCCAAATGTATATGCTAATGGAGAATTATGTCTAGATATTCTTCAAAATAGATGGTCTCCAACTTATGATGTTGCAGCCATATTGACAAGCATTCAAAGTTTATTGCACGATCCTAATCCAAATTCACCGGCAAATGCCGAAGCTGCTAATTTGTATAGGGAAAATCGTAAAGAGTATATTAGAAGAGTCAAAGAAATTGTTGAGAGTTCTTGGGAATGACCTCTAAAAAAAAAAAATTAAAAAATAAAATGATGTAAAGAACTCGGGATATATTTTCTTAATTTAGTGCTTAATTTAGTAATTCCATTTTGTCACTTTTTTTTTTTATATTCATAAATGGCATTACCATTTTTTTTTTTTTTTTTTTTTCCCCCAAAAAATAAAAATATGATTACATTTCTTAGATAAATTTTGCGTTTAAAATGTAGTTTATTTCATTTTATATGTAATTTTTTTTTTTTAATGGGGATTTAAAATTATTTGTATAGTAGATTCCGAATAATCACATAACCATAAGGTACTAAATTATAACTTAAACATTCTTTAATTAAAAAATTATTTAAATTAAAAAATTAAAATAAATAATAAAAAATTAATTTGTTTCAAACATCACTTAAATAAGATTAATAATTAATTCATCTCTATATTTTTAAATCTTCGCGGCTTGCCTTTGAGCAATTTTAGCCTAATCAACATTATGGAAAAATTTTCGTAAGTGAATGTAAACGAAAAAGTATAACGGTAAATTATATATATATTAATAATTATATTTAATTACCTTGACTGCATCTCCACCAAATACCATACAAACAGTCTGCCAAATACCTAAACCTATTCTGGGAGTTACACCACGATAAAATCCTTTCAAACCATTATTCTTATAAATGTATTTAGCACAAGAAAAAATCGTCATTTTCTCAGGTCTTCCTGCTGCTTTAACCTGAGATTGCATTTCAACCCTAATTACTTCGATAGGCTGTAAAGAAAAAAAAAGGAATTCGATAAACAAGACAAAATAATATTTGATATTTAATGAAAGGATTTAGCGCTTACTTGATTCCAACAAGACAAACCTCCTCCAATGGCACTAGCCAGGATTTTCTGGATTGGGGACAATGGTCTACTATAATCTGGTACATCACCATCTCTAATTCTCCTAATTGCAGTTTCACCTGCTCTTGTCAATCCAAATCTACTAGCCCAATTGGTACATTGTCGAACTGCTACGGCATTTACACCTTTATTAATTCCGCGGATACCTTCTTTTTTCCAAATCTCAGATGCAACTTTGATAGTTGATACTTCTTGTCCTGCAGGAGCTTTATGACGAGTAACCTCTACGGTTTTCATAAAAGTACAAAACCCCATAGTGGTGTAGGCTTGTGCTAAACCACCTCCCATACCACCAAGAATTCCCGCCTATGAATAGAAATCGTTAATTTCAAGCGAGAAGAATCAAATTATAAATGAATAAATTTATGATTTACCAAAAAAGGTGACGCTCCAGAGACACGTGCCCTGTACTCGAATTCACTGGCAGTGAAGATAAGTACTGCGCCCTAAATTTTTCAATTCAATTGATTAACCCGATTTATTAATAAAGAATTATAATAAAAGTACCTTTGTACTAGCTTCAATCCAAGCCCATGGTATTAATCCTTGATAAAACCCTAAAATTCCACCTCTTTTGAAGGTCTTTTTCAAAGATATCAAGATATTATCATTTCGATTCGCTGCCAAATGAGTTTTGATAACTTCGAAAGGTTGACCAAGTGTAGATACTTCAAACATGTTTAACCCTAAATTAATAAAAAAAAAAAAAAAAACATGCCGGATATGATATTTCTTTTATTCCTTTTGACTCAAACAAGATAACTTGGAAACAAAAAACTCAAATGCAATTCTTTTCTTAACTTTTGGTTTCATCCAACTTTTTTTTTTCCGCAAATACTATTTACCTGCGCCTACGGCAAGGTTAATGAAACTAATGGGTTTCTTTTCTAATTTTCCATCCTTTACTATAGGACCGGCAATGTCAACTGGTGCCATATTTTGTATGAAAAAAAAGTGAAAAGAAGTGCAGTCAGAGTTGAGGTTCTATATATGAGAGGGAGAAAGAATTCGAGATAAGAGATCATCTTTTTTTTTTTATTTTAATTTCAATTGATAAATGATAAGCATAATTATTGAACAAATGTTCATCAATTTCTATATATAAAAACAATTTATGCAATAAGCAATTACACATGATTCATGATTTTAAAATTCTCATCTAAAAAAATTATTTATAATTAAAAATGGTTTACATCGAAGAATGGAACAAATATCAAGAAGCAGTTGAAGAACTTTACCAGAATTCTCCAAAAACGGTGAAGTATTTTTATCATTTTTTACATCAGTTTTGTCAAATAGAATTCTTAAGAAAAATTATTTATTACTATTTGAAATTTATACAACAATTAAATACAACAATTCATCATGGAAAAAAAAGACACGATATGTAACTAGTTGGCGTCATTCCGAAGGAAAATTGATTCTAAAGGTTACAGATAATTTTACAGTTTTAAAATATAAAACGGACCAAGCTAGCGATTTAAAAAAATTCGAACGCCTGAATCGTTCGTTATTGTTGAAAATGCAAAATCGAAAAACCAGCGAAAGTACTGAAGTTTCAAAATTTTTTTTTTTTTTTTCTAACGATCGAAAAGTTTTAATTATTAATCAATTTCAACATCTATTAAAGTAGATCCAGCTTCTAAAACTGAAGATTCGAGTCGGGCGCCTGAAGTTCAAAGAGCTGCAGATTTAGCAGACAGTCCATCTACTACAAAAACCACTCCAAATCCTCAAACTTCTAAAAAGAAAGGGAGAAAAAAATAATTTATTTTAAAGTTCAAAATAATAATATATTTATTTTAAAATAGTGATCGAAATGTACGTTTAAGACTTTTATTTTAAATTACAACTTTTAAATGTTTTTTTCATTTTCATTGGACAAATTCTTAATAAAATGACAAATGCAATCAGCCGGATGATAAAGCATTTAGAATTTTTTCACCACTGCAATACCATGGCATCCATTCCATATATTTTATTCCAATGAATCGATTTCTAAAAGGAAGACCCAAACAATGTAAATGTAAATGTTTAACACTATTATAAGGTGGAACATGAAATCCTATCCTAAAATCAAATTATCATCGAGACGTTAGTCCAAATTATCTCGCTAAGAATGATTTGGAAACATGTATTACCTTGTTTGCGGTAACTGAAAACCTGATTCAGATAGAAGTCGATTCCCAATATCAATCATGTGTCTTACTTAAAGCATGCGTGAATAATTAAATCAGAATTAATTTATTATTTTCGGAAAGTTATATTTCGTAAATTAAAAGAACCTACATAAAGGAACGTCGTTCGGCGATAAAGTCTTTATCGTATCTTTTAAACGAGAAAATATCAAGAATTGAAGTAGTGAAAATAATGAAAAAGGAATGACAATAAATTTATTCGTACCTATATGGTCCCTAGGAATAATCAATAGATGCATTTTAGCAGCTGGTTTTTTGTCGTGAAACACGATGATTCGTTCATCCTCGTACACTATTCTTTCTGAATCTTTATTATTGGTAGCTATTTCACAAAAAACGCATTCTAGATCTTGAAAGTGGTTTTTAGCAAAACAAGAAAAGAGTCTCATAACGATTACGATTAAGTACGAGTTACACTAAAAATATATAATCTACAGTGACGTTAACTTCTTTACCTAATGTAATATATAATAAACATGGAAACGTTGTGAGTCCTGAGCGATTTATTGGACGAAAATCACGTGGCGGACAGAGAAACGCTCACATGACCAACATTTACTCAATGCACAATAATTATTTAGTCCTTCGCTTCGCTCAGGAAATTATTTAGATAGCTTAAGTTTAAGAAATATAAATCTTTTAAAAAATATATCTTTAAAATCTAATAATAATAATAATAATAATTATTATATTAAAATATAAAAAAAATTTTATCAAAAAAATCTTATTTATATCAAAAAATTTAAAAGTTATTTTTTATAATAATTATTTTATTTATTAATATTACAATTAAATTACTTTTATAATAATTAGTAAAAATATGTAAAATTTTACTTAATTATCCCTTAAACTGTAGAGGTTCACAGGCAAATTTGCCTGCTTATTTACTATAAATTCCCTTCTGATTTACTTTT